TCCCTGCACACCGTCGCTGACCCCCCCTCGCCCCCCCTCCGATGCAGCCCTGCGCCTCCCTGTGGCCGACTTCTTGAAGATCGTCAAGCGGTTCGTGCAGCCCGAGGAGCACGCGCAGCTCGACGAGTTGCAGCGGCGGTACATGAGCGGGGAGCTGGACCAACAGCAGGCCTGCCACCCCCCCGCCCCTCCTGCCCCCCCCGCCCCCCCTCCCTCCCGGCACACACACGCCCCCGGCTCCGCCCCCCGCCCTTCCAATCCGCTCCACCTCTCACCCGGCCGCCTCGCACGCCCCCCAGCTGCGAGCCGAGCTCCGGAACGTGGCCAGCACCGACGCGTTGCGGCAAGCGCTGGCGGCGGCGGTCCGCGAGCTGCAAGCCCGCGGCCGACATCGCGGCGAGATGAAGAAGCAAGTGGAGCAGATCATCGAGGAGGTTGGCATCGACAACTTCTCCGCCAAAACGGCGCAGCTGGCTGTGTCGGCGAGCCCGGCTGGTCTCCCTGCGCCGAGCGGCGGAGCGCCTCTCCGTAGGTGCGGGAGAAGCTGGAGGCGGCGCTGGGCAAGGAGCCGGGCGAGCTCAAGCCGGAGAAGGCGTTGATCGGCGAGCTGATTGATGAGGTGATGGCGCAGCAGGACGACGCGGAGGAGGAGAGGCAGCTCGCGCAAGCCCTTGCGATCTCCACGCAAGACGGCGAGGCGCCTCGAGCCGAGGCGCCGCCAGCGGCCGAGCCGGGTGGCAAGGGTCCAGGTGCGCGCATCCCCCCCACCCCCACCTCACGACAATCATGGCGCCACCCTTGTGCCACGCTTCGCTTCACCCCCCGCCATGCCCTCACTGTGCCGCGACGCATCTGCACGCTTCTGACCTCTCCTGTCCCCTTCCTGCACCCCCAGTCAGCCTCCCTACGGCGGCGGAGAAGCCAGGCGCGCCCGTCGGCTCGTCGTCGTTTGACACCGGCGCTTCCGCTTCCACGCCTCACAAAAAGAAGGCGGATGAGCCGTCGCCGTCAGCTTCCGCTGCAAAGAAGGCAAAGGTGGGCGGCAAGGAGGAGGAGGAGCAGTCACCAGCGGCGCCGGGTTTCGAGATCGAATACATCGATGAGGACCCGGTCCCCCCGCCCGCAGCGGCGGAGGTCGACCTCTCTTGGCTGGAGCAGCTGCCGCTTGGCCGGCTCAAGGCGCTCTGCGAGGAGGTGGGGCTGTCGGCGTCCGGCAACTCACAGGCGCTGGCGGGGCGGCTGCGCGAGAGCGGCGGGCTGGGCTTGCCGCAGCTCGAGGCGCTGTGCGAGCTGGTCTGCGTCGACAAGCAGGGCAGTGCGGCGGAGATCGTGCGGCGCATCGGTGACATGCTGAGGCGCATCGGTGCCAGGCTGACAGCTGATCCTTCGGATCGCGAGTTCGTGCTGGCCGTCGTGCGGCGGAACAGCCATGCGCTGCACTACGCCTCGCAGGAGCTGAAGGCGGACCGCGAGGTGGTGCTGGCCGCCGTGCGGCGGAACGGCGATGCGCTGGAGTACGCCTCGGAGGAGCTGAGGGCGGACCGCGAGGTGGTGCTGGCCGCCTTGCAGCAGGACGGCAGGGCGCTGCACTACGCTTCGGAGGAGCTGAGGGCAGACCGCGAGGTCGTGCTGGCCGCTGTGCGGCAGTGCGGCAAGGCGCTGGAGCACGCCTCGCAGCTTCAGTCGGACCGCGAGTTCATGCTGGCCGCCGTGCAGCGGTACGGCTGGACACTGCAGCACGCCTCGCAGGAGCTGAGGGCGGACCGCGAGGTTGTGCTGGCCGCCGTGCAGCAGAGCGGCGGGGTATTACGGCTCGCCTCGGAGGAGCTGAGGGCGGACCGCGATGTCGTGCTGGCCGCCGTGAAGCAGACGGGTGGGGCGCTGTGGCACGCCTCGCAGGAGCTAAAGGCGGATCGCGAGGTGGTGCTGGCCGCCGTGCAGCAGAACGGTTGGGCGCTGCAGTACGCCTCTCAGGAGCTAAAGTCGGACCGAGAGGTGGTGCTAGCCGCTGTGAAGCAGTGGGGCGGGGCGCTGCAGCAGGCCTCGGAGGAGCTACAGGCGGACCGCGATGTCGTGCTAGCCGCCGTGCAGCAGAACGGCAGGGCGCTGGAGTACGCCTCTCAGGAGCTAAGGGCGGACCGAGAGGTGGTGCTAGCCGCTGTGAAGCAGTGGGGCGGGGCGCTGCAGCAGGCCTCGGAGGAGCTGAGGGCGGACCGCGATGTCGTGTTGGCCGCCGTGCAGCAGAACGGCAGGGCGCTGGAGTACGCCTCTCAGGAGCTAAGGGCGGACCGAGAGGTGGTGCGCAAGGCGGCGCGCAAGTCGGCCCCCGCCACCGGCGGCGTCAAGAAGCCGCACCGCTACCGCCCGGGCACCGTCGCGCTCCGCGAGATCCGCCGCTACCAGAAGTCGACGGAGCTCCTGATCCGCAAGCTGCCCTTCCAGCGCCTGGTGCGCGAGATCGCGCAGGACATCAAGACCGGCCTGCGCTTCCAGTCGTCGGCCGTCGTCGCGCTCCAGGAGGCGTCCGAGGCCTACCTCGTCGGCCTCTTCGAGGACGCCAACTTGTGCGCCATCCACGCCAAGCGCGTCACCATCATGCCCAAGGACATCCAGCTGGCCCGCCGCATCCGTGGCGAGCGCGACGACGGCCGTGTCCCGCTCAAACCGCTCAACTACCGTGGATTGCCCAACCATCCCGCTACCCCCTCCCTCGTTGAGCTCGACTCCCGCTTCGAGGTAACCCTCTTCTCGGGTGACATCAAACTTCTCCGCCGCGAAGCCTTGTGCAACGAGTCGTTGCTGCCGCGCCTTCTGCGACGACAGGATCTTGAGGATCTCGAGCGCGAGCGCGGCGATTCTATCTTTCTCTCGCCGGTGGAAGCTGTTAACGCTCTCCGCAAACACAACCGCTGTATCGGCACGCTGACCTACGGCTGGGCCTCGTCTGACGACCCCGACGTGAGCGGCGGCTACCTCGCGAGCGTGCGCCGCTACCTGCGCAGCCCGCTCGGCTCACATGTAATCGCTTGCTTCTGGGATTACGCGTCGCTTCCCCAGCGGCCGCGGTCGGAGGAGGAGGATGCGCGGTTTGACCGGGCGCTGAACGTGATGGGCGACGTTTACGCATCAGCCTTCGGCACAACGGTGATGCGCCACCGCGTTGTGCCGCCGCGCCCAGAGGAGTTGGACGGTGAAGTGGTGGTGCTCGTGGAGAGGGGCGGCGTGCTTGACGGCGGGGTGGGATTTGCCGCCCAGGCCGAGATCCGACGGTGGGCCGACGGCGAGCAGAGCGGTGGCTCTACGTCGAGCGTGCGCTTCGAGGTGCGTGGGCGGGAGCGGAATTGGAGCGAGGGTGCGGCGTGCGTCAGCGAGGGTGAGGAGGGGCGTTGGCGGGTGCGCTTCGCCTCCCACGCGTTCGCCGAGCGCGCGGCAGCGGAGGCGGCATCGACAGGGCTGCCGGGCGCAGTGGCGATCTTCAGCTTCTGCAACCAGCGGCCGTACGAGGAACGCGGGTGGACGACGTTCGAATCTGGCGTGAGCTCGATTCTTGCGTCGTGGTCGGATCACCTTCCGCTGCTCCGTGCGGCGCTCGCTTCGTTGCCGCCCAAGATGGTTGAGATTGACGGCGAGAGGCCCGTAGAGGCCAGCGATGCGGCGGGCTCGAAGGACATGAAGGAGCGGATTGAACGCGTGCGCGCTTGCATTGAGGCCGCCTTCTTCACCGGCAAGGGCGACAAACCCGAGGTGGTGCGGCTATACAACAACTACATCGACGCGATTGGCAACATCATCATCAATTGCGAGAGCCTTGAGCGAAACTACGAGGGTGATCGCGACCCCACAGGGCAACCAGAGGGCAGCGGCAAAATGCGATGGGCCGATGGTGGCGTGTACGAAGGGGCTTGGAAGGCTGGCTTACCGGAGGGCTACGGCACGGAGCGTTATCCTGACGGCGGAATGTACGAGGGGCAGTGGAAGGCTGGGAAGGAGGAGGGACTCGGCACCCGACGGCATGCCAATGGCGACGTGTACAGGGCTGTTTTCAGGGAGGGGCAGCCTGTTGAGGGCGTGAAGTGGAGTGCCGATGGACAGGAGGCATGGCAGCTGAGGGAAGGCGGGGAAGTGCTGGCGATCTCACTAGAAGAGGGCAGGTTGATTTGCGAGCGGTTTGATACGTGATACCTGACATTGTGTCATATGTACGAGTATAGAAGTATGTAGCGACCCATCGCAGCCGATGTGTGTGTGTGTGGTTACCATGTCTGTTGGCACACGCGCGTCCCACCTCGAGACTCGAGTAGACTTGGTACCCACCCAAATTTGCACAAACTCCGAGGGAAGGCCCTTCGAACGCGCGCGAAACCGAAAGCGCCGGCTTTCCGCGAACAACCCCCGAGCTACCACCTACCAGTTCCGGCGCCCCCCGCTGGCCGCGTCCCTCCCAGGTCCCTCCCCTGTAAGGTAAGGTAAGGTAAGGTGCGGTAGGTAGACATTCTACCTCCCATCCAACCCACCGAAACCCGTGCTCGAGAACCCGTGTGCTGTGGATGGGTTTTACCGCCGCCTTTTACCCCATCCATAGCCGTCGGGTTTTATTTACTGATGCGTTCTCTTGGTGTTGTCTATGGTTTGCTAGACCCATGAGACCAGCCACGCCACGCCGCGCCATCGGGCGCCTCCACCGATGTGGCTACCTTGCGCTGTGGCTACCTTGCCGCTGTGGCTACCTTGCGCTGGCGGCCCCTTGCCCCTCCCCCCCCCCTTGTTCCTCCCCTCCCCCGCCGCGACCCGACCGCCTAGACGCGGCCGAGCCCGAAGCGCGCAAAGCCGGCGACGCCGGCCGAAGTTGCCCGCACCTGGTCGATCGTCGCGGAGCGGTCGGGCAGGTCGAAGTACGCCTAAAAGGAGGGATCCAAGAGGGCTGCGAGAGGGCTGCGAGAAGGTTGCCCGCAGGGGAGTCCGCAGGGGAGAAGGAAGAGAAGGGAAGGATGAGAAAGGAAGGGGGAGAAGGGAAGGGGAGAAGGCAAAGGAGAGGAGGCAAGGGGGGAGAAGGCAAGGGGGAGAAGGCGGCGGGAGAACACGCACCTCATACGCGCGCAGCGCGCGCTGCTCCTCGTCCTCCGTCGGCTCGCCGCCGCGGCGGTCCGACGGGGCGGCAAACTCGTCGCTTGGTGCGGCGCCGCTTGGTCCGGCGCCGCTAGGCCCGGCGCCGCTTGGACCGGCGCTTGCGTGCTCCCCGAGGCCAACGAGGAGGTCGGCAAAAGCGAGGTCGCCGAAGCC